ACCACAATCAAACTGCCTCTCAGTTTTTCTTTATCAGTAAAACAGACTTTGAACTCAATAATCCATCTGAGAGCTGAACTCAACATGCAGAAAATACCCTTTAAAATAATCCGTTGTCTGAACAATTCTGCCATTTGTGATGACTGATTGCGCCTTTAAAACAATGCCCAGGCTATTGGCCAAAGGATAACTGGGTACTTGTAGTCTAGTCTCTAATGTTCAGGGCTTTAAATGTCAGCCATTGATCTGTGTTGATGTTGCAGTTAAGCTATCTATCTATTCCATAATACACTATCTCCACAACCTGCCGTGATTCATGGAAAAAATAGTTTCACATCATTTCCCTTTAAAAGATTCATAAAAAAGTGATTGTACAGAGGTCAGAAGTCAAGATGCAGGAGGTGTGAAAAGGAAGGCTGGGTTCCAGAAAGTAGTGTCAAGGTGAAAATAATTGAGTGTGAACTGTAGATCTTTTATCAGTAACCTCAACTCAGGGCAGAAGGCTTAATAATTAATTTTGGTTTTAGAAATGAAGTAGATTATTTATTTTCAAGAATACAAGTAAGGCTTGTTCAATGCAAGTATAAAGGGGAATAAATCCTTCCAGGGTTCTTCTGTGATTATAGATCTTATCTTAACGCCTAGAGCATTTTAATGGCTCTGATTTGTTTACTTTTGTGCAGCATAGTGTGAAGACATCAGCTTCTGAGCGTGGACTCTCTTTGAGATACGAACTTCAGTCAGGGAACATGCCAAATGGTTCTCATTTGACTGTGGTAATAACCAGGGATGAAATCCTAGCCCCACTGAAGTGAAAGGGTGTTTTACCATTGTCTTCAACAGAGTCAAGACATCACCCTAATTCTGAGAGAAATGGGATTTGGTTTTTCAGGCTTTGTAAAAAACTATTTTCTGATTTTAGTCCCCAAGGATTTGAATCTCCTGAGTTTCACTTTGAGTTTCAAGTTACAATCAACCCAAATTTTTAAAGTGAAGCTTAGGCGAAGCACCAAATTTGGCCTGATTTCAGGTGAAGCTACCATGCTCTGCACCCACAACTACATATTGAGCCATGCTCACTGGAAATGAGGCACCCACTCACTCCAATCAAGGCCCCATCTTGCTCCAAAAAGTTGATGAACCTCAGAGAATCTCTCTGTGAACCTGCACCATGATGGTAACAAATACTTAAAACAGGAGCCTTTTGGTTAAATACTTTCCTGATATTGGGTTTCATTACAAAAACAACGTACAGCTCTAGTAATGACCCAGCAAAATAGCCAATCTTGGTGGCAGTCCTGTGATTTTCAACCAACCATTGTGTTCCTTGTAGGCCTCCTACTTTTATCCTTTCTTCTACTCCATACCACCAACAGCTTCAAATACAGAAGACACCCTGGTTGGGAAGTGAGCCTTCTCTGAGACTGCAATGTCATGCGAGAGCTAGCCATCAGGGGGCATGAAAATGCTTTGTAACACGTTCCCTACCATCGCAACATTTGTGTCCCCTTCACAATAGTCTCTGCCCAGAAACCTGAAAAGGCCTATAGCCCTGACTCTCCCATAGGATTGCAAAACTCTACAATTTCCTAAGCCTTAGGGCAGCCTACCAAATGCAAAAAACTTTATCACCTTCCCTGTTATCTAACTCAGACCATTCCTGATACCCAGATTCCTTCTGTTTACCCTCCACAATAAGGAATCTCCAAGGCTAGAGAATTTGCAGCTAGGAACTGGGGCTTTTTATTTCTCTTGTGTCAATCTTTTCTCACCATTCTCCCTCGGATGGTCTCCTGCCTTAGACAGGGCTGTTCTGGTCCAAAAACAGGAACATCCTCCTATCTTTTCTCTAGGCTTGCAATCATCAATTAGAATCAGATCTCCCAAGGATGATGTCACCTCACTCAGGTGGCCACTTGCACATTCCTGGAATACTGGACATTCAGGTATTTTCCAGGAATGGCACAGGCATACCCCTGCCAGTGTGGCCATGCCCCTTCCAGCATGACCTTGCATTCTAGGTCATGCCGACCGGGGCACAGGATTTTGAAGAGCATGCCACCCCGCTTTCCCATTGCATGAACAGTGTATGTGAGGTCACACTGGCAGGGGCAGAGCGGTGTGCTATCCATTATAGTATCTGCTACCAGACAAAATCGTGTCTGGTTTTGTCTCAGTACTGGCTGGGAGACAAACATTACAAAAGCAGGACTGTCTGGTTTAAAACCAGATTGAGAGGCCTAATGACACCTCACTTCTCCAAAACAATTAGCTGGAGCAAATGATGCAGCAGCAGGAAACCTCCTAACCCACCACCTCTTCAGGAATCACGACCATCTCATCAGCAATTCTCCCATGCCCTGTGAGCCCAGGAACTCTGATACCAATGTTAGTAACTCTTAATTTTACTCCTTGTTCAGTGAACTAGCAGCAGGGAAGACTCTTTTAGCGTGGCAGTAGAAGGGCCTACATGGCTCAGAAGATTTATAATAATATCGGAACAGAGAAATTGCTATCAGAACCAAGGTCCATCTAGTCCAATATCCTGTCTCTGGCAGTGACCAGTACCAGATGCCTCAAAGGAAGATATAAGAAACCCAGCGTAGGCAGATGTGAGGTAATCTGCCTCTTCAAATAAGAATGAAACTAGTAGTTCTCCAATGTTGTTCATAAAATCAGAGACACTCTGTAAGAAGAAAAAAGAACGAGGAGTACTTGTGGCACCTTAGAGACTAACAAATTTATTTGGGCATAAGCTTTCGTGTGCTAAAACCCACTTCATTGGACGAAAGCTTATGCCCAAATAAATTTTAGTCTCTAAGGTGCCACAAGTACTCCTCGTTCTTTTTGCTGATACAGACTAACACGGCTATCACTCTGAAATCTGTAAGAAGAAGTTCATTTTCTGGAGTCACTTCTCTCCACCCTTTTCCCCACTATGTGTTTCTCAAAATATTTCATAGGCAGATGACCAGGAAATGTGCCACAAACCACATCGTCTGAGAACACTGCTCTAATCTAGGAACTTCCTCCTTCAGGGCATTACTTCAAATCCAGCACAGAACTGTATGGAATGAAAGTTGTTAATTTCCCAGGCAGTTATGTTAATTCACTTACTTTTTTCTTTTTAACTAAAAAGATGAAAAAATGGCATAGAGTAATGAATGATGTCAATACGAAACAGCAATTCATGTTCTGCTTCAATTAAAATTGAAAACATATATTACAGACAAAGCCTATTCATGGAAGAATGTGTTTTAGCTTGGTGCCATAATTATGTGGACAGATACAAATATTTTATGCACCATATGCTATACTACACTCTCTTTATAGACGTCTGCCTCATGGCTGCTCTAATTTACACTGACTGGTAATCACTCCCAAGGTGATGTCAGGGCAGCTAGGGAGCTGTGGCAAATAGCATTTCAGTCACATGCCTCTACTACCCCAATGCAGGCCCTGTATGAGGGATGCACCCAGGAAGGGGTTGCATAAAGCCAGTTATTCTGACTCTATTCCACTTTCCCCACATTAAGAGAATCAACAGCAGCTCATTAGGACAGCTCAGTGACTTCTCTGTGCCATCGCTATCAGATCAATGGAAAGGGGATCTATCTTGGCTGAGAATCTGACTCAGTGTGTTTTAAATAGAGTGATGAAAATGTGCCGCTAATTACTCGGATTTTCCCTCATGTTTCCTGTGTTGTATGTCGCCACCTGGTTGTCTCAGCTCTGTTATCTTTTTATCTGAAGATTTCAAAATTTATGTGAAGTGGCAGCAGCCGTGTACTGTAAATGCATGACAAGTTCTAAGCCATGTGATATGGTTACTTCCTTCTTCCTCAGTCTTCTACAGGTGCAAAATGACCATATAAAACCACGGACAAATCTCACAATTCATTATTTAAACTTTGACGGTACATGCTCTAAGCAATAATCCTTGAGAATAGTAGTTACTTACAGTAGATTAAGCAATTTACCGCAGTGTTTCAGTAAGCAGTAATTTTAAGTAGTACAACACTTTAAATGTTTTGTATAGAATATTCAAGTAACACAAGGAGATGGCTCTGTATTGCAATTTACATCAAGATAATCAGACTCTACTCAAGATAAACAGACTCTACTCCTCTGGGGGATGTATGAGAGATGTCCCACAGAGCTTTTTACTATCCTGTCCGTGATTCATCAACGTGATCAGAGATTCTCCTGAACTCTGGGTGCCTATATCCTAACTTTTTCTCTGTGGTTACATCTTTACAGTACATCTTATTCTTTCGCCCCAGGCTGAACAGAATCAGGATTTGTGTTATTAGCAATGGCTGTGTAAATTACAATCTGATTTAGGTGTTAGCACTGAAATCTATGTCCTGCCATTTTTCTCTTCTTTGTTCTTTAAATATTTTGTTTTCTGTTCCTTTGTTGTTGCAGAGCCAACATGTTAACGATCATACACTATTCTCAGGTCTGTGCTGACAAAACAGTGAAGCTAGTGCACGAACACTTCTTGGCATATGGTGCTGTTTAAGTTGAAGTCGTGCAACTGGAAATAAAGAAATAGTTCAGCTCCATGAGCATTCACGCTTTGCTGACGGTGATAGGTGTGATAGTGGTTTTGTGAAGCTGTACAAGAGGAATGGAACCCCCCTCATTTTACATAGACCAAGAGACAGTAATAATTTGGGGCATCACTAATCTAGGTCAGATTCAAACCAGCATCCTAAGGGTGAAGAAAGGTCACCCTCCTTAAATCTATGCCACATTAATGTTAATGTCAACGCAGAGGGAAATATCAAATAGAACAGAGTAAGATCAGATGGGAAAGAAATATTATTTAATAGATGGGAAAGAAGTATTTTTGGATAGCTTCTAAGAGATGCTACAAACAATGGAGCATAAAGCCAAAGAAATGAAAAGCCATAGAAAAAGTTGTCCTTGACAGTGTCCCCCTTACTAAGCCCTTAATGACTGCAATGCTAAAAACCCTTATGGCTCCCCTTTACCTGATCACAGATCAACTCCCATTTCTTCTCATTGTCATACTGCCGAAGTAACCTGGCTTTGTCTGGTGGCAAGTTCATTGCATTCTGTGGAGAAAGAGAAAACAAATGTGAGAGACTGCAACAGGCTTAGCACTGAGAGAGGTCAGACATGAGCAAACCAAGACAACATGATTGTGGTGCTTTAATGATATTATTTGAATTCCTTATGGCACAGTTAATCACATTCCACAGAGGCCATTTAAACCTCAGCCATGGAGCTTTGACTGAAGAGACAGGAGGAGATGGTACACTGCTGGAGCACTGCTTCTTAAAGGCATTGTGTCTTTCAAAGGCATAATACTTCCTGGTGTTGGCAGACGCATCGCACAGATGGGCTCTTGTTCTCCCAGCCCAGCTATCCTGGAGTGCAGGATTGCACAGGGCCATGTTACCAGTACAGAAAGCACTACCCCTCCCAGTGGAAACAGATTATTCCTGTCCCACGCCCAGCATACATGCACCTTGCACCATCTCCCCAATCCAGCAGGCTGGCAAAGGAGAAGGCACAATTTATCCCCACATTGGGAGATTTCAAAAGGCTTGTTTTTAAGAAAGATCTTGAAATGCAATTGAAATGATAATGAAACGGTATTTTATTTGAATAGCAGGACAATATTTGGGTTTTAAAATGTCTCTGCATGCAACCTTAACTAGATAATTTGCATCCTACAGATATGAGCACTGTCCATAGTGATATAGCACCATTCACATAAAGAAAATATAATGAACTAGAAACCCTGGCTGACAATCTGCAATAAAGATTAAGAATGTATGGAAAAGGGGCAGGGTAGACCAATCTATCATTATCACCTCCATTGATGGTAAAAAAAAAAGTCCTTTGATATCTATATGTTAGGTATTGGTTGAGGTTGATTCACAGAGGTACAGTTACTAAGTACATTTACTCAGTATTCTGCATCAGCACAAGGACTGCAATGGACGCCAGCACCAAAGGGCTTTAAATAATCCAGCAGTGAAGCAGTAAGACAATATGCTGGCAAACAGATAACAAAACATTCAGCCCCTAGCTGTATAATTTCACAATTTATGACTTTATCAAACCTCCCATTATACTGAAACAAACCTATCCTTCAGATTCCTCAAAACACCCTCCAGAGTCCACATTCTGCCCTTAGTTACGCCTGTAGAGCCCCACTGACATCATTGTAGATGAAGAAGCATAACTGAGGGCAGAGTTCAGAAGGCAGGATTGTGTAAGTTGCTGTACCTCTGCACACAAGGAAAAGTATCTGCCAAAGCAGCTGAGACTGCCAGGTGCAATTTCCTGAATCCTATACGGCAAGCTATATGCTGAAAATGTAAATGAGCCCTAGCAACGGCAGGCTACGGACTAATGGCAGAGTGTGTCTTTAATAGCCACATATGAATACAAGCTGGAGTGCAACTTCAGCGATCTCTTAAATTGGAGTTGAAATGCAATATGTTGGGAAGCAATATTTCTAAAGGATGTAACCTTGAGCATAATCTAACAATTGTACTTACATCTAAATGGGCTCAATGATCCATAGCTAAACTGCTTTAAAAAAGCAGGCATGTAGCTTTCATTTCCATGTACCGAGCCTAACCCAAGGAATTCAGACTGCGATCCCCTTAGAACAAGCATTGTGTAGTCTGTATGATTGGACAGCGCCCAGCGCACACAGCTGGCACTCAATTAACAACTGTAAGGGTTATATTCAAAATATTAATACCTCATGCTGATGTATTTAGAGAGGACTGCTAGACAAGAGAGCTTAACTTGCAATGGTCTGGATCAATATATCTGACACAGATTTCTTAGGTCCTTTCTGCCTGTCTCATCATTACATTCCTATCAAAGGAAAGCTGCTTTCACAACTTAAATATATCAGGTGCTGATTCCTTCTTGCCTACCACATCACAGTAACATAACATTACCTTCTGCTTCATTATAAGGACTTTTTCACTTACATTTTCATAGCCGATTGTATGACTTGCCCTTTTTACAGTAATTACAGTATCTGATTCACTGTACTGAAATAGTGTACCTTTGCTAGCATTACTGTCCTCTAACTACCTCTTCCAGTCTACCAAACAGCACAATCTACAGTTATCCTGCTTACTAGGTCTCCAGTTTAGCAATCTGTGACACTTGAGGTCTGAAGGCTCCCACTTCTTGTCTTCCCCAGTACCAGTAAGACCTTATCAAACTCCTCTGCAACCCTGGATTCTGAGAGTCAACCAGCACCTTTGCTAAAAGCAGTGAAGCACATGCAGAAAGAGCGACTAATTCCCTTAACTTTTCCATTCAAGTTAAATGTGATTGGAAGTTTCTCTGATTACTGGAAATGCCCTGTCTACCTGACAGACACCCCTGGTTCTGTTTTACCCTTCATGTGATCTAGATAGAACCAACGATAAGAGTGAAAGAAAAGTCTGCTTGTTCATCCAACCAGACATTCTGTATTTTGTAGATGTACTTACTATCAGTCTCACAAATGACTTACCTAGTCCCATATTGGCTGAGAGAGCCTCCCTCCCTCCCATGAGAGTCCGTTACACTGTTCTGCTGTAGCAAACCCTTTTCTTCCCTTAACCTGTGGCCACTGCTCCTTATCAGAAGGTAGGACACTTACCTTCCTTCATATTGTTACCTTGATGATATCTCCCCACGATTCTACTCTTTTCTCATATATCTTATCCTCCCATCCACATATAATTTTATTGTCCTTCTTGATATTTTCTCTAAGTTATTTTTAATGTAAGTTTTTAATGTAAGTTATTTTAATATCCTTTCTAAATCCAAATTACATTTCAAAGCTACGTACAGCTGCAGAGCAAAACATCACTATTACGTGCAACCATACCACGTCAGGCTGTGATCTGATTAGATCTAATGAGCTCTTCAGGCCAGATTGATGCTTGGATAGGAAACCTGCCTGGAAAACCCAGGCACTACAGGAAGTTGCGCTGGCAATTCAGTAGACAGCACTTTTGCTGCTGAGTGGGAACTCAATCATGGCAATGCCATGGCATGGGGAGAGGAGTTGAGATGCTGTCTTTTGGTGAGTTGCCATTAAAGATCCCCTCTCCCTTTTGGTATTTGTAGGAATGTCAACCCTGGTATCTTGGCCAAATTCCTACGTGGTACTGACATTCTGCCCAGTTCCAATCCCCTTGTAATTTCAGTTGGACATGGCATTCTTCACTCTGTCTCCTAAGCTGCTGGGTGTTGTTACTGTGTGTTTTCAAACACTTACTACTTTTCACTCTAGAGATTACTACACCACACTAGAAGGTAAAGTGATTCCTCGAGTCCTTCTCTACAATCAGGACCAAATCTTCCCCACCTTCTTCAGATGAAAGTGATGTGAGGCTGACTAGAAAACTGCTTAAGCAGCAGTATATGATTAGTACATCTCATTTGGTAAAAAGGTTTTAAGCAGCTTTGAGATGTTTCCATGAAAGTTGCTGTCGGCTGGTGGGCAGAACCACAAGTGAGGGAAGCTGAATAACATGCTCACCAGCAGCAGTTTCAATTCCTGTCCATGGGCTTTCTCTTATTGATTCATAAACAACGGATTCCAAACAAAAACAAGCTGCTCACAACCATGGGTCCCAACTGCCAGAGACAGTTCCAGCTTCTTAGCCAACTGGAAAAGGAAAGACAACTTTCCCCTTAATTAGCCTGCACCACTGCCATAGCTACCTTTCTATCCCTTCTCCTGATCACCGTTATGACAGGCAGGGAAAGGCATGCTTTGGAGCTAGTGCGACACCTTTCTACCTTGATGCAGACACTATTTAAAGGCAAGTTCTTTACCATTATCTCTTCTGGTTTATATGTGAATCGCCATGAAAATAGCATTGCCTTTCTTCACAAATGCCTCAAACTGCACTGCTTTAATGGAGATTGTTACCAACTCTTACTCCAGATAATCTCAGACTCACTGCTTTTCAGATAGCCCTCTCCCAGACTTCTATCTTACTCTCTCCCCCTATGTTTGGGGACTCCCTTTGTTATGACAGGTTTACTCTACAGACCTAGTCTGGTATAACTACGTTGCTCAGGAGAGTGAAAAATCCACCCCTTTGAGTGACATCATTATCCCGACTTAACCTCATGTGGAGACAGCGCTATGTCTGCGGGAGAGCTTCTCCCTCCGACAGAGCTACCGCCTCTCAAGGAGGTAGATTAACTACACCGACGGGAAAAGCTCTCCTGTCAGCATATGAGCGTCTTCACTAAAGTGCTACAATGGCGCAGCTGCACCGATAAAGCGCTGTACGTGAAGACAAGCCTTTAAATCAAATCTTACTACAGAGAACTAAACAAATTTTTCCTGCTCCCTCTGAAGTTTGGTTCTGGTCTCCTGCTCTTTCTTTGAGTTAAGTGTCATCAGCAAATTTTGACCTTGATTGATTTATTCCTCTCTCTAGATTGTTAATGAATGTATTAAATAATAGTCATCCAAATGCTGCCCTCTGCAGCACCCTAACTGATACTGTTCTGCACTTGGAAGTCTTTTCATAAATAACTGATCCCTATGTCCTGTTAGGCAACCAATTTCTAATACATTATGGCATTTTTATCTAATTGGCAGCAATTCAATTGATATAGTGCCACCCAATACACTTATAAAGGAAATCGCTTCCTGAAATCCAAATGCACTATATCCATTGCATATCTTTTATGTACTAAATCAGTAATTACAGCAAAGAAGGGTAATAAGTTGGATTGGCATGACCCTATAACTTGCAGTAATTGTGACTGTATTAATAATGAACATGAATGAAGAGTCCGTATTTTGGGCCCTTTTTCTGTTCCTTATGGTTAAGTGGAATGACTCACGTAAGTCTCCTGGTCATTTCCTCTTTCTCTAATGACTATGAATTTCACAAACATCAACATCACTTTTCAGCTCAGTCAGAGAACCGGGTGCTTCATTATGGTTCGTCTTATTTCACTTTCCATCTTTATCCCCAAATTAAAATCTATGATCTCATCATTATTGCATCAATAACTATCCTATTCATGGTAAAATCTAAATTACACCTGACTCTTA